TTTTAATTTTGTTTTGTTTTGTTTTGAGACAGGCTCTTAACAGTATGTAGCATTGGATGGCCTGAAACTTGCTATAGATCACACTGGCCTTGAATTCATAGAGATCTGTGAGAGGCAGAGCCTGTCTCTGTCTCCCTAGTGCTGAGACAGATTACTTTTGACTTTTTAAAGAAGATTGACGCTAGTGTGATAGGTCTGTAATAAGAGCATTTAAGAGGCTGAGACATGAGGGTTGCTTTGTATTTAAGACCTGCCTGGGTAGTAGGGCATGCCTTTAATCCCAGGCAGAGGCAAGTGGATCTCTTGAGTTTAAGGACAGCTTGATCTGCATAGTGAACCCCAGGATAGCCAGGGCTACCTAGTGAGACTCAAAACAAAACAAAAAATACAAAAGACCAGTTTGTACTTCATAGTGAATGCCTGGCCAGCCAGGTAAGCCCTTGTCTCACAACCACCACCCTCCCCTGCAGAAAAATATTGCTACTGGGCTGGGCATGTAGTCCAGCATCAGGATGCTCCCTCTGAAGGCACAAGGCCCTGGGTTTGATCCCTAGTACTAAAAAAAAAAAAAAAAAAAAAGCTGATTTTGAATTTAGAACTTAGCAGTTGGTTATGGGGAAGTTGAAAGCTTTAAAGTCAGTTTGCATTTCCTTAGATGTGGGTGGTTGGAGCTAAAAGAAGTACAGAATGACCTTCCTCTAATACTGTTACAGAAAGACTTCTTGCAGTTGTTGGGAGTTGCCTCAGAAAGTTCCGTCTTCAACATATTGCAAAATATGGAGTGGTTGTGTTCTCTGTTGGTCTTGGAAGGACTCTGGAGTGTGGGAACTCTGACTGCTGATGGGACTTTGACAAGTACTGCCTACCTAGCCATATCCCCAGATAAGCCATCATGCTTCATCAGTCTGTTTCTGCGTTAGATTCTGCTAATAACACTGCAGACACTAAACCATAAGTCTAAAGCCTTAAAGTGTTATTGGGAAAAATTCCAAATCAGACCTGACCAGTGGGTTTTTAGAGACCCACTGTTTCCTCTTAAGAAGTATGATTGTGGTGCACATCTGTTGATTTTTAAGAAATGTCTGCTGGCTTGGGGAAGAGGGGCTGCATTTTTGAGTAGAAATATGTCTTAAATTGATTTTCAGTAACTATTTTAGTCAGCAGTTTGAACTCATCTTAGGTAGCTGGTGCCATTACATCCTTGTGGTCGATAGCTTTCCTTTTTGTGGCCTACTTAATAGATTTATGAAAACTTTCTGTCCCATCGTTATTTTGGTTGTATTTTTGTTTCTGATTCTACACAGTACTATAACTGGTAGATTCTTAGTAGAAAAATAATTTGGAGAGCAAAAGATACCAACATAATAAGAGTCTTTATGTTCTCTCAGGTTCAGCTTAAAGATCACCATTTAGAGAGGCCTTTAAGACCACCTTTGTTGAACAGCCTATACAAAAATTTTCAAAGTAAAAAAAATGGAGCTTTGCATGGTAGCACGTGTCTTTTATTCTATCGCTCTGGAGGTAGAAGCAGGCGGATCTCTGAGACCAGCCTGGTCTACAGACACAAAGAAACCCTGGCACAAAAAATAATTTTTTAAATTTAACAAAAATAATTTTTTTTGTAGAAAGGTAAGATTGGACCTGCATAGGACTGAAGTAGCAAGGAATATTAGAATATTGGTATTAATAATAATATTTGAATACTATTAATAATAGTATTAGAACAATAACAATTCAAAGGAGAATTGATAACATAGTGTCTTCAAACTTGAAAAATCAGATATGAGAATAAAAAAATGAAAGAAGCCAAAAATTCTGAGTTTATGGGAATTAAGAGATGCCATCATTAAATACAGGCTAGGAGCATGAAGAAACAGCACATTTGAGAAGGAACCTTAATCTGATGGTAATGTTTTCAGGTGTTGGAATTGGTGGAGAAGTAGAAAACTACCAAAGCCCAAGAGAAGGGATTTGTAGGGTGTGTAGATATTTTCATATTTTGGTTTTGCTTTTCAAAGATTTACTCTATGTGTGTGTGCGCATGCACGCGTGTCAGTGAGGCCAAAGGCATTGGATTCCCTTGAAACTGGAATTATAGGTGGTTGTAAGCTGCCTTGTGTGGGTGTTGGGATTCAAACTCCAGTTCACTGCATGAGCAGTATGTGCTCATAAATGCTGAGCCATCTCTCCAGGCCTATTCAGGGTAGTTTTTGAAGTCCTGATATTATACAGAAAGAGAAGAGAGACTGTTGAGAATGGAAAATAGCAGAAAGTAAATTCTTGGAAAATACCTCGAAGGGTTTGGAATAAAAACTAATGACACCTAAAGAAGCTAAACAAGAAGGAGGACCCTGGGGTAAGATGATCAATTCTCACTTAGACAAATGGGATGGACATTGGAAGTAGGAGAAAACAAGTAACAGGACAGGAGCCTACCACAGAGTAGGTAGAGCCTCTGAAAGACTCTACCTAGCAGTGTTTCAATGCAGATGCTGAGACTCATAACCAAACATTGGCAAACATTGGGCAGAGTACAGGGAATCATATGAAAGAGGGGCCGTTAGTAAGACCTGGAGAGGACAGGAACTCCACAAGGACCAAATATATCTGGGCACAGGGGTCTTTTCTGAGACTGTTTCTCCAACCAAGGACCATGCATGGATATAATCTAAAACCCCTGTTTAGATGTAGCCCATGACAGCTCAGCATCCAAGTGGGTTCCCTAGTAAGGGGAACAGGGACTGTTTCTGACATGAACTCAGTGGCTAGCTCTTCTACACACACACACACACACACACACACACACACACACACACACACACACTCACTCCTCCCCCTGAGGGGGACAGTGCAGCCAGTCCTGAAGAGACCTGATAAGCTAGGGTCAGATGGAAGAGGAAGACCTCCCTTATCAGTGGACTTAGAGAGAGGAATGGGAGGAGATGAGGGAGGGAGGGTGGGATTGGAAGGGGACTACAGCTGGGATACAAAGTAAATAAGCTGTAATTAATATAAAAAAATAAAAATTGAATTAAAAAAAACTAATGACAGAAACAAGTAGAACCGAGAGAGCAACATGGGGAACCAAGTTTTGTTTTCAGAAAGAATTGAGATGCAAATCTGGTTCTTCTCCCCCACCCCCACCCCACTCCTCAAGTGGAAAGAAAAGCTCTGTTGCAACCTCAAAATATGACAGACAGTTATCCTTCAGTATGGTGAAGGATTGGTTCCAGGACTCCAGTTGATAACCATGTCTGTAGATGTGTAACATGGCAAAATATTTGCATAGAACCTACTCGTGTACTCCTGTATACTTTTAAAACACAATTTAAAGATTTATTTATGTGTGTAAATACTTTGCCTTCATGTGTATATAAGCATGACGGGTGTGCCTGGTGTCCATGGAAGCCAGAAGAAGATTCAGCTTTTCCTGAAATGAGTTAGGCAGTTGTTAGCTGTCATGTTTAGATTCTGGGAACTGAACTTAGGTTTTTTGCAAAAGAAACCAGTACCTTTTTTTTTTTTTTAAATCCTTCTCATACAGTACATTCTGATCAGTTTCCCCTCCCTCTACTCTCCCCAATTCCCCGAAACACCTCCTATCTCCTTCAGATCAACTGCTCCGCTGTTTTCTTTCAGAAAGGTACAGGCCTTCCAGAGATACCAGCTGAACACAGCATAACAAGATGCAATAAGACTAGGCACAAACCCTCATGTCAAGGCTAGATGAAGAAAGGAAAGGGTCCCAAAAGCAGGCAAGAATCAGAGTCACCTGCTTCTACTGTTAGGACTTCCACAAAATAATGCCAAACTAAACAACCATAATGAATATGCAGAAGAACTATAGCACAGCCCCATGCAGGCTCCATGATTGCCACTTGAGTCTCTGTGAGCACCTGTGTATAAGCCCTGCTCAGTAGATTCTGTGGGCTATGTTCTCCTAGAGCCCAGGGTTTTCAAGTCAGAGTCGATTTATGCTGCATTTATTTTACCTAGGAAAGACAAAATGCGCTTGATGGTGACCCTCTAGTGTAGTGTAACAGAAGAAAATGTCTTTAACAAAGCTTCTTATAGGACATTAGTAATTAGTCAGTCAAGTTAAATAACAAGAATATAGAGTTGAGTACATGAATAAAAAATTATTAGGATAAGGGAAAGGTCAAATTGTAGTTAGTTTGGTATTTAGTAGTATCTAAAACATCTAGATCCTGTTCTTTGTGATGCTGATATTAAAAATAACAAGGACAGTCTGACCAAATTAGAGGTATCACCTGTGTGAAATTGGTTAAATCACATCCATTAAATAGAGGTTACTAGAAAAAAGTTAATTGTTAAGAACAGTGATAGTATATGCGCATATTTGCTTTGGATGTGAACACTTCATTTTTGGCAAAAAGCAGTGGTTTAATAAAATTTAGAAATTTTACACAAAATCTGGGATTAGTGAATATATTTGTTAGGTCTGGATAGCTATTATTAATAACATTTTTATCTTGGATTAATTACCTAGTGAGTATTTTTTTTTTTTTTTAATCTGAGGTAGATTTCTGCAGAGCAGGAACTCCCACATTAACACTGCCTTTCTTTTGTGATTGTGTAGTTATGGCTGTGCAAGTCCCTGCATTTGCTTGGTGCTTGCTCTTACCTGGTACCCTAAAGGATATCTGTCCTTGTTAGATTAAGCTCACACTGTTGACTGGGCTTCTTCTTCACTATATGACATTTATTTGAATAGAGAGAGATATGAGAGACATTAGATTTTCTTCTTTCATTTGTTGCTAGAGCAAAATAATTTCTGAAGGCCTTCCTGCTTTACATATAGAACAGTAGCCGTTGTCAAAAACACAATTCCTTCCTCTCCTAGTTTGGTGTATTTTTTAGTATGATTGACCAAAAATTATAAATTTATTTTCATGATAGTTTACATTGTTATGGTGAATTTGGTATACTTAAAGTATCAGCAGTCTATGTGTTAATTATTGTGCTTTGATCATTTGTAGGCGAAACCTAACCAAACTATCCCTGATCTTCAGCCACATGCTGGCAGAACTGAAAGGCATCTTTCCAAGTGGACTCTTTCAAGGAGACACTTTTCGGATTACTAAAGCAGATGCTGCAGAGTTTTGGAGAAAAGCTTTTGGAGAAAAGTAAGTCTCTAAATGATGAACCTTAGGTATTAAAAGCTAAAGCTTATATTAGGAAATATTTGTTTAGAATTTTAAATTATGAAATATTTAAAACACAGTGGGTCAGCAAGATGCCTCAGCAGGTAATGTGCCTGCCGCACAAACCTGATAATCTGAATTTGATCCCAAGAACCTGTGTAAAGGTGGAAGGAGAGAACTGATTCCACAATGTTTCTTCTGATATTTACATCCGCACCATGGCTCTTGTACTCTGCACTCACATATAAACATGTACCAACAATAATAACAATAATATTTTTAAAAATTCTTCCATTTTGTTTTTGTTTTTCACATCAGGGTTTTTCTGTGTAATAGCCCTGGCTATTCCAAAACTCACTTTGTAGACCAGGCTGGCCTTGAACTCACAGAGATCCGCCTACCTTTGTTTTCAAGTGCTAGAGTTAAAGGTGTGCACCACCACACCAGGCCAATTTAAAAAAAAAAAAAAAAAAGCCTGGGATGAAGATACATGGCTATAATCCCAGCACTTGAGATGAAGATAGGAAGATGAGATTTAGCCAGCCTGGGCTATATGGGCAATATGAGACTCCCTTCTCAAAAACAAAATAAATAAGAATATTTAAAACATGGGAAAGCTTCCAGATGGTGGTGGCATACACCTTTAATCACAGCACTCGGGAGGCAGAGGCAGGCTACAGAATGCGTTCCAGGGCAGCCAGGGTTACACAGAGAAACCCTGTCTTGAAATATAATATAATTATAATATAATATAATATAATATAATATAATATAATATAATATAATATAATATAATATAATATAATATAATATAATATAATAATAAAATAAAAACAAAATAAAATATAAAATAATAAAATAAAAACAAAATAGAACATGGACAAAGTTTGGGGGAAATGTACATGTGTTTATTTCTTTTTGAGACAGGGCTTCTTTGTGTAGTCCTGGCTGTCCTGGAACTCTGTAGACTGCCTCTAACTCCTGGAGTGCTGAGATTAAAAGTGTGTGCCACTATGCCCAGCTTTTTCCAGTATATTTTTAACTTTGTATTGATTCTTTGTGAATTTCACATCATGCGCTCCAATTTTACTTATCTCCTTGTTTCTTTGTGTGCACCCTCTACCCTTGCAACTCTACCCACCTCCAAAGGGAAAAAAATCTCATCGTGGCAGCTATAGTGTGCCACACAGTATACCCTTTTGTCCACACATCTTTGCTTACAAATGTTCATTGCAACGAGTCATGGGTCTGCTTTAGACCTGGGTTCTGCTGCATTATCAATACTGGATCCTCACTGTGACTCCTCTGAGATATCCTGTTGTTGCTCTGTGTTATGGAGATTCTGCAGCTTTGGATCTGCAGGACCAGGCCCTTCATGTGCACCAACAGTTTATAGATGGGGTAAATATTGGGGTGGGCCATCTCAAAACCCTGGATCTGGGCCTGGGTGGTAGCAGAGTTGCTCAGCTAGCTAGTTCACTCAGTACCACACCCGGCCAGGGCCAGGGCCAGCTCCAGCTCACCTGCCCCTACGCCACCAGGGCCAGCTCTACTGTGCTGCTCAGGCAAAGTATGGGCGCACTTTCTGAGTGCTTCTCTTCTTAAAACCTCAGTGGCAGACAGGCTGGGATTTCACCATGGCCTCTGGTGGCATGGCAGGCTACTTAAATCAGGCTGTTCCTCTCTCCCTCCTGTCTCCAGTTCTGCCTTTTTTTTTCTTACTACTCAAAGGGTTCCACTTCTCTTTCTCTCTCATCTCTCTACCACATACTTGCACATTGTAGTGGCTCCAGTTGCAGGTGGGCCTCTGGGTATCTTTCTGCTTTCTGTAATCTTTAAAGAAATAAAACTGTAATTTCGATGAAGTCAATGTTCTTTGATTGAAAAGTCTTCCTTTTTTTCCTCCCTGTATTCTGTTAATATACATTTATATTTCAAATTATTGGTTTAAAAATTTTTAACTATGTGTGTATTATGTGTTTATACATGTGAGTGCAGTATCCACAGAGATCAGAGAGGGTGTCAGATCTCCTGGAGCTGGGGTTATAGGTGCTTGGTTGTGGGTTGCTGGATGTGGGTGCTGTGATATTGAACTTTGGTCTTAGGTAAGCAGTACCTGATGCTTATACTGAGCCATCTCTTCAGCCCCACACTTCCAATTATTTTCTGTTTCAAAGAGTGATCAGTATCATAATTGCTTTAATAAGCGAGTTTCTTCTTAATTACATGGCTAAGAATGTTATTGGTAAGTCAGAGCATCTGACTCTCCCCCACCCCCCACTACTGTTACCTAATTGCTTTTCAAATTGGTTTGTATAAATTTGTTTTTGTTGTTGTGGTAGTGGTTGGTTGTTTTGTTTGTTTGTTTTACCGTTAGAACAGTTTTACTCAGAGGTTTGGGGAAAGGTTGGAGAAGTCCACGCTGTCTGCTGACCTCCGCAGGGAAGATCTTAAAAGGGTTCCTGTTGCTAAGAGTTTTTTTGGGGGGCGGGGGGTGTTTTTCAATACAGGGTTTCTTTGTAGCCCTGACTGTCCTCGAACTTGCTCTGTAGACTAGGCTGACTTCAAACTCAGATCTGCCTCCCAAGTGCTGTTAAGAGTTCCAGGATTAGAGTCATAGTTCAGTACATCATGTGCTAGAATGATCCATGCCATGAATTTAGTCCCTAGCAGTGAAAATAAAATAGATAGGTAGGTAGGTAGGTAGGTAGGTAGATAGGTAGATAGATAGATAGATAGATAGATAGATAGATAGATAGATAGATAG